GTGGCGTTGCATGACATGGGTGCACTCACATACATGCAGGCAATACACTCATACACATAAAATAAAAATAGCAGAGGCAGGTGAATCTCTATGAGATCGAGGTAAGCCTTGTCTAAAAATCGAGTTCCACTGGTAAAAGAAAGGAGCCAGGGGCTCCTCCCAAGCCCATGCGACCCCTGAGGAACAGATCCTCAAACGACCTTAAGAGTAAAAATAACTTGGTTTATCTAGGCTAACTGTATGGCCTTACACACCCAAAAGGAAAGTATAACCAAAGATTAAAGGGGCTAATATATTTTTTAAGAGTCCATATGCATAGCTAAAGGCTACATAACAAGCAACAATGCCAGATAGGAGATACCTTCTTTTGAGTTGTTGGCCAGGGTGGCCCAAGAGACTCCCATATAGTAACTCAGCATAGAAGTGGGAAAATGAACAGCAGACCCGAATCTTATTTAAAGGAATTTTGACAACTGATTGCTGCTAGATGAGGAACAGCTGACCCTCCTAAAACAAAGACCTCTAGATAGGCTGACTAGATTCACCAGATGGACAAGTAGTGGGGATCGGCTGGGGGTGGTGACAACACAGCGGACAGTAGCAGGGAAAACAAAATATAAGGGCTCTAGTGGGGGGCGGGTATGGGAGGGTGCCATCTGGGAAGTGGGTGTATAGTTAAATAAGACGGTTTGGGATGTTCTGTGTAATACACACACATAAAAAAAAATCAACCAATTTTTAAAAATGTGTTATATTTAGGAGGAAGCATGGAAATTTAAGTCATGCTAATTAGTAGAGGTGATAAACATTACCATTGAAATCTACCTGATGACTTTATAGACATACACAGGCACCAAGGATCCAAGTGCAACCGATTATGACTAGTAATAGATACATACAGATTAGAGATGCATGCGCCAACATCTCAGCGTTAGCAGCAAAAATGAGTCTTTCTGCAAGAAACAATATATTCTAAAATGAAATGGAGATTTTTTTAAAGGTTAAAAACTCATTCAGTTTTATGTCTTACAGGGCTTATACTGAGTTCAATATTGTATAACTGTATTAATTCAACTGTGAACCTAGAAACTTACAGCCACTTGTGAAAGAGATGTACTCTTGCTCTGGAGTGTGTTACTGAATGTTAAAGCTGTAGTGAAATGCTTCTTCTAATCATGTAGTTATTAACAATTTTTTAAAAAAATAATGATTTAAAAAAAATCGAGTTCCAGGTCATCTGGGCCTATAGAAAGACCCTGTCTCAAAAAACCAAACCAAACAGAACCAAACACAAAACAACCATGTTGAAAAGCAACTAAGAGCTTCAGTGAATCTTCTTTCTCAAAGGAGAATTAAGAAAACTCTGCATATTTCTGTCTTCTATCAGCTGTTCTTCCTTTGATGAAATTACAGTGTCTGTGAAAAAATCGTTTGTTGACCATTGTTGGCAGATTTCCATTTCTGAGAATAGAGTAAGAGTGGCTCTGGCTCATCTCTGGCGAAAGCCAGTCTGGGCTGGCTGGATTGCTTAGTCGGCCCAAGGGCCCAAGACCTGAAAGACGACATTCTTGGCACAGTTCTAAGTCTTCACTATAAATGTAATGCTTGAGGCCTTGAGGTTGCAAGAGGTCAAAGAGGGAAGAATTATTTTATATATGTCATTTCAGCAACTGTTCAAAATAATCTCCTCTTGGAAGGAAACTTATCCCCAGTCATGTTTTGAGAGGAGGATGTTTGGATTCCCATTCTCAGTTACAACAGTGAGCTGGACAGATTTCCTGGGCCTTATGGATTCTGGACTATCTAAAGAGGTCATAGGGCCCAGCAATCCCTGTCACAGGTATGTGCTTCAGAGAAGTGAAAACACGTGTTCGCGCAAAAACCCAGGCACAAATGATCACAGCGCCATTATTCACATAGCCAAAAGACAGAAAGAGCCTAGATGCCCATCAACTAACCTGTTGACAAGCAAGATGTGGTATGTTCACATGAAATACTGACTCATGCTATATATACACTGACTGACCTTTGCAAACATTATACCACATGAAAGAAGTTAGCCAGGAAAGAACCTACTCGGTATGATTCTGTTCTTATGAAATACCCAGAACCAGGAAGCGGCGAGACAGAAGCAGGTGGGTGTGTGTTTAGGAGCAGAGAGTCAGGGGACTAAGGGCTGACACTTTCTGTATTAATGAAAATGTTGTAAAAAATAGCTGTGGTGATGGTGTATATAACGTGTGAATAAACTAAAAACCACTGACTTTCTCACTTTAAATGAGCAGATTGTATGTGTGAGTTGTATCTCAATAAAGCAGATTTTATTATTAAAAAAGATAACTTGAAGACACAGAGATAAACGTATACCTTACTCTGATGACATGCTTGCTCTCAGGAGTCCTGACATCTGTGTTTAAAGCTGAAGCAAAGGATAAAATTATCAGCTGGGCCCAGGGAGGTGGCTCAGTGGTGTCTGCTGTGCAAAGATAGACCTGGGTTTAGATCCTCAGCACCCATGTAAAAACCAAGTGAAGTGGTATGCCTGTACTCCCAGTGTACTGGGGAAGCAAAGAGGATGCCTAGGGCTCACTGGCCAGCCCACCTAGCCAAATCTGTGAGCTCCACATTCAGTGAGAGACCCTATCTCTAAAAAAGCAAAACAAATTGGAGAAGCCATTGAAGAAGATACCTAATGTCGGCCTCTAGCCTTCACTGTGTACCTGTACTCACATGTGCACACACATAATTTTCTTAGACTTTTAGTTACTAGTGTTCACATAATGTCACTGGGAGTGTTTTTGTTCATGGAGGCCACAGTAGATACTAACCACAGAAACTACTGATTAGGTAGCATCTGACAGCATGCAGGCAGACTTTAGCTAAGCTAAAGCAAGCCACAGAAAGAATCAAAGGGAATGACAAAAATAATGAAAAACTGTAGCTTAGGGCTGGAGAGAAGCTCAGCAGTTAAGGACACCTATTTCTCTTGCAGAGAACCTGAGTTCAGTTCCCCAATACCCACATGTGGCAGTTCAGAACCACCTGTAATTTCAGCTCCAGGGGATCTGAAACCTTCTTCTTGTCTCCATGGGCACCTGCACACATGTGTACAAGCACATAGTTATACATATATACATAAATAAATAAAAAATTAAAATTTTATTTTTAAATTAAAAAAAAATAAAACTGTAGTTTATGTGGGTAAAGCACTTGCCTTGAAAGCAGGAGGACTGCAGTTCAGACCCCTAGGACCCGTGCAGAGCCAGATAGACCACCAGCACAGGGAGATGGGAAGGGGAAGCAGGAAGACTCTGGGAGCATATGGGACTGTGTCAGTCTGCTCTAACATCAGCAAAGAAAAAGATACCCTCCTCTAACAAGGTGGAAGGTGAGGACTGACACCTGAGGTTGTCCTGTGACCTCCACACATGACATGGCACATGCACATCTGCACACATACACAGAGAGAGAGAGAGAGAGAGAGAGAGAGAGAGAGAGAGCCAAGAAAAGGGACTTATTCCAACAAAACTTACATTCTTTAATCCCAAAACTCCACTTCAAGAAAACTGTCCTAAGGCGAGCCTACAAACTACAACTAAGTAATTCACGCTGAGGTGCTCAAGACACATCATCGAACAAGTCAAATACAACAAAAGGTTGAATACAACCTGGTTGCCAGTGATGGATGTAAATGAATGGATACTTTCCTGTGAGACAGACAATGCACAGTCACTAGGTGACCTTTGTGAACAGTGTGTGGTGACATGGTGAAATGCTTATAGTTAGAGACACTAGCAACTCAGGTTGACTATGGGATTAAATGCTGATCACAGCTATGTGGTACAGCTTCCAGCATAAAGAAGTAAGTACAGACACAGAAAAGAAAGGTCATTCATTAATAGGGCCTTTCTAGATAGGATTGTTGGTGTGTGCATGTGTACAGGTGCATGTATGTGCATGTGGAAGTCAGAGGGGTGCTGGCCACCTTGTTCTTTGAGTCGGCTGGCCTCAAGCCCCAGGGATCCACCTGTCTCCACCTCCCCAGCACTGGATGGATTGCAAGCATGCTACTATGTCTTGTTTTTTGTTTTTTGTTAGTTCTGAGGCTATTCTAATAAATAATTTAAAAACAATTGTTAGCATGAAAATATGGGAGATGGGTTATAGGCAAGCCTAGAAGCAGAAAGTGCGTCTTGTCATGACTACTGGAAAGTGACTGAACCATGAGCGTTCCTGATAGATTAGCCCTATATACTGGTGGTTTCTTTTGAGTTACACCAACTGCAGACAGTGACATCCTCAATGTAGATTCTGAAATCTATGGCACGATTGTCTCCTGGCTATCTCTTGTATAAGAGTAGCCTGTGGTAAAAGTCAAATGTTTTACATTTGTTATCCATGCATGAAGATAAAAAGTTAATTTCTCACCTGTGGTCCCAGCACTCGGGAGGCAGAGGCAGGCAGATCTCTGTGAGTTCAAGGCCAGCCTGGTCTACATAGTGAGTTCCAGGACAGCTCAGGCTACAGGGAGACCCTGTCTCAAAAAGACCAAAAAAAAAAAATTCTCATATCACATTTGTAAATATTTGAATCCTGCCATCATGTTAGCTATTGCTTTGTGGGTTTTATTGCCTTTTGGTTTTGTCTTGTTTGGGGTGGTTTTGTGGAGAGTGTTTTGTTTGTTTGTTTTTTGATAAGAGTCTTCCCTGTACTCACTATGTAGACCTGAGTGGCCTGGATTTCACAGAGATTCATCTGCCTCTGCCTCCTGAGTGCTGAGACTAAAGGTGTATGCTGCCACACCTGGCTATTGCTTTGTTTTTTAGTGATAGATGGAGGTCTCATTATGTGGCCCAGACTGGCCTCCTACCAGAAGTCCGACATCCAACACCACACTCCTGATCTGCTGAGTTACTACAAATGTACACCTCCACGTCCAGGTTTAATTTCGGTTCTCTAGTTTGGCTCCTGTAATTATGCAGTTTACCCTTTTTCTCCACAGGTGCATCATAAGTAGAAAAGACTGAGATTACAGATGAGAAGAGATTGCAGCTAAAATGAGCCTGGGCAATACGGGATGTTTCGTGCCACACACCAAAAGGTACTGTACACTACTCTGCAACTTAGTTTCCTCCTAAACAATATAAACAAGTTTTATTTCTCTGGGTTTCCTGTGGTGAAATTTTATTATATCTTTATAAGAATATAAAAGAGAATAGAAACACATAAATAAAATTAGAATAAAATATTATATTACAAAAATTTCTTCAGCTGGGCAGAGGCAGAGGAAGGCAGATCTTGCTGAGATCAAGGCCAGCCTGGTCTACATAGCTAGTTCTAGGCCAGATGGAGCTACAGGGAGACTCTGTCAAAAAGACAAGAAAAAGTTTTCTCAGGGCTGTGGACACCTGAATTCACATCAAGACCTGAGTTCAAGCCCCCAGAACCCTTGTAAAAAACCAGGCATGGTGTAAGTCATATGTAAGTGCCTGTGACCCCAGCGCTGACAAGGCAGCCACAGGAGGATCCCTGGGGCTCACTGGCCAATCTGGCCAAATTGGCAAATTGCAGGTTCAGTGAGAGACCCCGCCTCATAAAATAAGGTGGAGACACAATTGAGGAAAATACTTCTGCTGATTTCCTGCCTTTACATGCAGACACATAGGTAAGCACACCAGCACACACACACATACACCATTTCTTTCTTTCTTTTTTTTTCTTTTTCTTTCTTTTTTTTTTTTTTTTTTTTTTTTTTTTTTTTCCCTGTAGCCCTGGGAGTCATCTCCCTGTATCCCCACCTGGCCTGGAACTCACAGGAGATCCACCTGCCTCTGCCTCCTGAGTGCTGGGATCAAAGGCACTCTGCACCCACATACAAAAAAAAAAAAAATGCAGATTTGCCATATTCATAGTCAGAGCTTACAAAGAGAATCACTTGGTTAAAAGAAATGGCTTAGGGGGCTGGAGAAATGGCTCAGTCAGTTAAGAGCACCGACTGCTCTTGCAGACGACCTGGGTTCGATTCCCAGCATCCACAAGGTGGCTATAAACCATCCTTAACTCCAGTTCCAGGGGAATCTGAAGCCCTCTTCTGACCTCTGCGGCATTGCACGACATGGACTCACATACATGCAGGCAATACACTCTTACACATAAAATAAAAATAAAAAATAAAATATTTTTTAAAAAAGAAGTGGTTTAAAGATTACTGATTCCTTTTATCAAATTAGTTTCCTGTTTAGTTGCAGTACTTAGTATTAGGTTTTGAGTTGAATAGATGGTTTCTGTGTTAGTTAGCTTTCTGTCTCTCTAATAAATGTCTGAGATATTGAACTTATGCAGAGAAAAGGTCTATTTTGACTTGCGGTTTTGGAGATCTCAGTTTGTAATCAATTGGCCTCATTGGTAATGTAACCCATCATGGCAGGAGAGCCAAGAGGCATAAGAGAAAATAAAGAGAAGGTGAGGTTCCACAGCACCCTTCATGGCCCCAGTGACTTAGAGACTCACAGGCTCTGCCCCTATAGGTCCCACTACCCTCAACAACAGCACCCCAGGGACAACCTCAGTCACATGGGCTTTGGGGGAACATTTCATATCACTTTCCCTCTAATTACAGAAGTGATAGGATTTTCAGGGTTTTTTTCTTAAATGCAAATAAACAAAAAGAAGGAAACTAAAAATTACCTAAAATCCCAATTCCTCACCAGCTGCAAAGAATCCCAAACCTAGAGCCATAGCTCCCTCCTCACTGCATAGCCCTTCTGTGCCTACTGCTGACAACTGGGCCTTTGCCCAGACCAACAAATAAAGAAACTGCCTTGTGAGATGGGAGGTGGAGACAGGAGACTCCTTAGAGGCTTGTGGGCCAGCCAGCCTGGTGAATGCGGAGGCAAGCCACAAAGAGACCCTATCTCTACATAGTGGAAGGCAAGGACTGACACCTGAGGTTGTCCTCTGATCTCCACACATGTGGCTTGATGTGCACACATCTACACACACTCACATACATCATACACACAGAAATACCATGCATATATTCACACACGTCATACACATCACACACATGCACACATATATCACATACTTACGCATACACCCACATATGCACCATATACACACTCATACATTCACATAAACATACAAATACACATCACATAAACACATAGCATTCATACACATACATCATTCATGTACATATATACATATACACATACACTCATATACACACATATACATATATACACATCATACATATACATAGATACACATATACACACATCATACACACACATCATACACACACACACACACACACACACACATACACACAAAGATTTTAGAAAAGAAAACAGAAACTTCCTTGTGGAACTTGCAAAGGGCATTACTGGTAAAAGCAGATACAGTTCCAGAAATATATCATTTTCAGATTGCCAATTTGGTAACTGAAACGTATCTTTTTTTAACTTTTAATTCTCTGATTCCTTGTGAAGTCCCATTTCCTGTCCTTCATAACCATGGGTGTTTTTCTTTTGAATTTACTCTTTATCTCTCTGGAGTTTGTGGGTGCATGGTATTTCTGTATATATGATGCATGTCTTTGTACATACGTGTTCCCCTCTCTGACACTGACAATAACTTTCAACAGGTATTGCATTTTGCAGGAATTTCTCCACTTTATTTGCCTTTAAGTTTAATCCATACAGACATGTGAAGCTGTCTTCACAATGATGATAAACAGATCTATTGCTCCCCATTGTACTTCATGCCCATTTTTTCCAGTATGTACTTTTATTGAATTTTTGTGCGTTTCATACAATACATCTTAATCAGCATCTTAATCATATTTAGAGCCCCTCCCCTGTCTGCACCCCTCCATAGCCCACCCACTGGATTTCATGCATTCTGTCATATATATTAAAGCCTATAGAGTCAAGTTTGTGTACCCATATGTCCCTCAGTGTGAGTTCATCCACTGGAGCCTGGTCAGCCTATCTAGTGTCACATATATATATATATATAATTTTTAAAAAATATTTATTGCCGGGCGTGGTGGTGCATGCCTGTAGTCCCAGCACTTGGGAGGTAGAGGCAGGCGGGTCTCTGTGAGTTCAAGGCAGTCTGGTCTACATAGTGAGTTCCAGGACAGCTGGGGCCACAGGGAGACCCTGCTTCAGAAAGACCAAAAAAAAATTTTATTTATTATTTTTACGTGTATGTGTGTATTGCCTGCATGTAGGTGAGTGCACCCATGTTGTGCAATGTGCACAGAAGACAGAAGAGGTTGTTGGATCCCCTGGAACTGTAGTTATAGACAGTTGTTAGCTGCCATATGGGTGCTGGGATTTGAACCCTGGTCTTCTGCAAGAGCAACCAGTGTTCTTAACCGCTGAGCCATCTCTCCAGCTCCTCTACTGTCACTCTCTTAAAGAAGATCAACTCTCCCTCACCCAGTAGTGATCAGCTGCCAACAGTTCCTCAGCTAAGGTTGGGCTGGTTTTTATCTGAGTTTGCATGGATCTTGTGCATGCTGTCACATTGCTCTAAGTTTATATGAGTAAGTTCCCAGAGGCCTGGAAGACTCTGTTTCCTTGTGGTCATTTACCACCCCTGGCTCTTACAATCTTTCCACCCCCTCTTCTGTAATGGCCCCTGAGCCCTGGGTGGGTGATCATACCCATTTTAACCCCTCCCTTTCTGGCCCTTTTTACATCCAACCAGCCCCAGACACACAGTGATGTACTCGCATTTTAGTTAAGATTTACGTGTTTTTTTTTTTTTTTTTTTTTTTTTTTTTTTTTTTTTTTTTTTTTTGGTCTTTATGATACAGGGTCTCTCTGTAGCCCCAGGTGTAGTGGAACTCACTATGTAGACCAGGGTGGCCTTGAACTCAGAGGTCCGCCTGCCTCTGCCTCCCGAGTGCTGGGATTACAGGCATGCACCACCACGCCTGGCAAGATTTACTTTATTTTTAAGTATGTGTATGTGTGTGTCTATGAATAGATATGTGCCCATGAGTGTGGGTTCCTATGGAGGCCAAAAGAGAGTGTCAGATCCCCTGGAACTGGAGTTACAGGTTGCAAGCTGCCAGACATGGATGCTAGAAACTGAACTTGGGTCCTCTGCAAGAGCAGCACTGGCTCTTAACCACTGAGCCATCTCTCCGGCTCCAGTTCATGTTTTCTAGACTATTCCATAAATAAAATCATAAAGGACATGTTCCTTTTGGTCTGGCTTTAACTCAGCATCATCATTTTGAGATTCATCTGTGTCATGGCATGTGTCCATGATTCATTTTGTTACTGCAGCATTCCATTGCTGCATGTACCACTGGCTGCTCATGCATTCCTTGTTGATGGACATTTGTGTTGTTTCCAGTTTCAACTATAAGCAGTAGGCTGCCGTGAACACTGGTACACAGGCTCCCAGTGGAGACATCCTTTCATCTCTCTCTGGTATAGGAGTAGGATGGCTGCACCACACGGAGAGTTTGTGTTTAACTTAAACTACTAAACTGTTTCCAAAGGATGTGCCATCTTGCATCCCTGCAGCGCCTGAGGGATCCAGTTGCTCCACATCCTTGTTGAGCGTGGTTTAGTCAAGTTACCCATTCTCATAGGTGTGGAGCAGTGCCTCACATGGCTTTGATTTTCACCTCTCTGATGAGTACTGATGTTAAGCCTCTCTTTTGCCGCTCACATCTTTGTTGGTCAGAGGTCTTTTCAGACTTTTCACCCATTTAAAAACTTGAGTTGTTTTTGGATTTTGAGGATTTTTTAATATTTTTTTGTTTTTTGATACAGGGTCTTATTATGTTGGCCTAGCTGGCCTGGAACTTGCTATGCAGACTAGGCTGACCTCTATCTTACAGAGATCCACCTGCCTCTGCCTCCCAAGTTCTAAGATTACAGGCGTGCACCGCCATGCCCAGTCCCTCATCCCAGTCACCGTTTGTAGCTTCCACCTCTGAAGGTTGAGTTTGGAAATCTTTTCATCCTTTCCATCTCTGCTTTCCATGTTCAATTTTCCCTCTAACTTTAAGTATATAGAGTCTAGTTATGTGCTTTAGTGTCCTTGCTTTGGTCTCTGTTGTTTTTCCTA